TTGTCCAGTGCCCGGACAACTCGTCCACTGCCGGTTTTTTCGCGAAAATGCTTCGTTAGGTGCGGGAAATCTCGTCCGCGTGGCAGGACAACTCGTCCACTGCCCCGAAGAGGCGGAAAACTTGTCCAGTGCCCGGACAACTCGTCCACTGCCGGTTTTTTCGCGAAAACGCTTCGTTAGGTGCGGGGAATCTCGGCCGTGTAGCCGGACAACTCGTCCACTGCCCCGAAGAGGCGGAAAACTCGTCCAGTGCCCGGACAACTCGTCCAACGCTGGTTTTTTCGCGAAAACGCGTCTTAGGTGCGGGGAATCTCAGCCGCATAGCCGGACATTATACACTATTTGGATAAATATTGATTCATCAAATGAATGCATAATAAACAGGAAGCAAAGAGAGAAGGAAGAGAAAAGAAGGATGAAGAACGTTGAACATTAATAAAAAACAAGAACATGCACATCAATAGACATAACCCCCCTTGCAGAAAATATGGGAGTAGAAAAAAACAAAAATGAAAACAAAAACTTCGATTTCAAAGAAAGCGGAATATGCCGCAATGCGCAGGACACGCCGAAATGCACAAATTCCGCTGCGGAGAAAAGCGAATTTTCCGCCGGAAATTAACCCCTACGTATGCGTCCTCACCGATCAATACCCCCCATGCACATCCTTGACTACCCACATCCACATCCTTAACCATCACTCTCCTCATAAATCAACAGTCTGCATATTTCCGGATTTGTATTCTGCTATTACGCACTTCTGCACCGCTCAAGCGGTCGTACGACTCAAGCGATTGGATCGCCTGAGTCAGGCGATTCGGTCGTTCGACTCAAGCGACGCAATCGCTCCATCGCGAAGTCTGAACGCGGTCTAAGAAGCTATGTTGCTTCAATAACTTACTGAGCATGGGTCGAGGCTGCGACGCGAGGATAATCGAGTAACGTATCCGAGACAGCCCGGACATCTGCACCTGAAACACACCGAATACAATCATGTGACAAATGATCGGCAATGAAATTGAATGCTTCATAAGCGTTTGAAATACATGCTGATGTGTTGGAGGACAGCGTCATTTCCCACTTTCATATTCATATGCAGGCTTAATTACCATGAAGATTCAAAGGACAATTTGTGCAATACGGGATTACGTCGCCCGAAGTAAAACCAGGGGCCGTTTGGACGCGCTGACTGTTGGCTGCGAGCTTTTTTAAAGTGCAGAAATCACCAAATCCGCTGAAAACTTTAATATAGGAGTAATCTAACATCCTGTTCACAAATATGACATTCATTCTTAGACGCTGGCGCTAATAGAGGACACTACGATTATCTTCTGGGTTCAGCTTTAGCAGAGGGCAGATAATCGTAGTGTTCTCCATTAGCGCCAGCGCCAAGAATGAATGTCATAGTCGTAATCAGGATGTTAGATTACCTCTGTATACAAATTTTCAGCGGATTTGGCGATTTAGGCACTTAAAAATGAGCTCGCAGCCGAAAGTCTTCGCCTCCTAACGGCACTACCCGTAAAACCATCAAATTTTATATTGACCAAGCCCGCTTAGGCTGCGTTCAAACTTTGCGTCTCGGCATTTCGAGGGAGAGGTAGGGATAGTGACCGATCCGGTGTCTTACAAGGATCAGCGTTTCGGGCGAATCGGTGCTTCAGCAAAAAGATTGTGTAGCTATCGATCGGCGCGCAAATGGTTGGAAACTCTGACTTTGCCAAAGTGCCAATTTCACCAAGACGAAACCGATCGGTGTCGATCAATACCCATACTATCCCTACCTCTCAAAACGCCGAGTCTCGAAGTATGAACGCAGCCTTGGTATGACATGATGCGAAACCACAACAACTACGTCGCCTGCCCGCAGACTGCGTACCACTTCAAGAGAAATACATTACAAAGGAGAAAATGTGACGAGATTCTTCTAATGCTCAATCCCTGTTAGCATGCGGTCTGCTGCGACAGGTTTCCTCGTTCTCTTAGTCTTGCTTCACTATTATTCTTCCGGCTACAAAACGATCGGCATCACTCATACCATATCACTGACGAAACAACCACATTCGAAAGACTCAAGCCATAGAGATTCAGTAATAGATCTCTTTTGTGAAGAATTAGCCCGGGTAATATTTCAAAGGAGACGTTGCTCTTAGCGATTAATATTCCCAGAAGATTGCTAAAAATTCCACCACTGATTATAGGGCTAGATCCCTTGTACCACGCAGGGCTGCTGACTAAAAAAAACATCAGAATTCCATCTTTGTATTGTAAGCAAACACCAAGGAAAGCCGAACAAGTGAATTTCCCTGGAACTAAAATTTCTTTTCATGGATTTGGCTATGACCACAGAACTTGCAGGGCACATCCACTATAAAACAAGAAATCGAGTATTTTTCAAATGTAAATATGAAGACACTCACCTTCGCAGCGTTTTAGAAGCGCCGAAGAAATCCGAGAAAATCCGAGGGAAAACGAACCGGATTGTGAAAGCGGCTGCGTCGCGGTTCCTTTGTACCGTTGGGGCGCGTTATTTTTTAGCTTGGAACACTGACAATCGGCAATCCTTGGTGGTAATATTTTCTTCGGTCAGACATTCTTTGGCGCAGCTGTGCCACTTAACAAATACATCCAGTTTTCTTTCAATCTTGAAAACGGTGCCAGTGACTCAGATAAGTCTTCTTATGACGTTGCTGGATTATCTTTTTCAGTTATTCTATTCCTCTCTGCGGTTACTGCGGTTTGGTTTTGTTGTCCTCACGGCGCTTAACCTTGGCTTTCTTTCCGAGCTTTGTCTTCTTTATCCTAAAGCCGCTCGAAATATCTATTGAGTTCCGTTTAAGTAGAACTAGAGAGGCCAGAAATGTTCACCTTCTTATTTATTTTTTATTACGAATCGTCATGGAATCACTCTTATTTTCGACACTTCTCTCATTGCTCTTACGTGGAAATCTGGGCAATTCACGGCGCAGTTCGGCTTGATGAGGGCATTTTGCTGGTCGCCATCGCTGCCCGCCGTTGCCTGCTGTGAAGACCTGTTACCTCTTGTAAAGCTATGCAATAGTATGAACTTCAGTTGCCACAAGAGTCTTCATTTGTCTTGACAAGAGTCTTCCCGAAACGAGACGTGTAATTTACAAGGAATTAGCAGTATGAAGTGGCGAAAGTGGGAAATCCCCCCTCCCCTTAAGTCGAACAGTGTCCATCTTTCATTCTTTTCAGGAGGTATAAATGGTATTTTTCAGAGTTAACTTCGATTCAGAAGTCCGAATGAAGGTCGATGGAGAGAACGGTTCCGTGGTTGCTGAAGTTGATGCCACTGGGGAGGCAGTTTTGAAAGCCAAGGAAAATGCAGCGCAGACGTGGCTCAGAGCTGCTTCTTTCAAAGAAATCCTGGGGTCTGATTCGAGTCACAAGGTAAGTTATTCTTCCATACGATGTGTCTTGAACTGTGAGTCTGCCTTCCCAAAACATTGCACTTCTTCATTTGAAAGTCATAGTAACTTCTTTTCAGTCCCTTTTCCTGCTTGTGGCCCATGAAAATGGTGAACTAGGTGTGCTTCTTCTCAACAAGTCCCCATTTTCCGAGAATACTGAGGATATCAGCGCTATTATCGGATCGGCTGAGCTTTCCGAAATAATGAAAAATGATATCTATGGAAGCTACGATGTGATGATTCCATCAAATTTGAACGGTATGTTATTGCATCTTACAGGTACACTCCTTATCCCTGGAACGGAGTAGGCGTGGCATTTGAACATGGCATAGCATTAATTACCTGTGGGGTACTTCAATTTGAGACAAATTTCACCTTGTTTCGTGTTGGGCAGAGGCTACCACAGTTCTGTAAAGTGAAAATGTTCCCCCAAAAGCACCACCAAGTTTGGTTGAAATACGCAGCCACGCCTACTATATCTTAGGGATTCGGAGTGTAATGGCGCGTATACTTTGTTAATATGAGGCATCCGCAATTCGGGAGAGTCGGAGATTCGGGAGATTAAAGCGAAAAGGAATGCATACGTAATGGATCACAGTCTTGTTCGCTGTGGATGTTGGGGCATGTCGGTGAGCTTGGTCTGGCGCAGTGCCATTCCATTTTACAACAGTTGTTGACACTTGCCCTCTTCAAAAATTGCTAAGCAGGCTAGCGCTTATTCAAACCCTGTCCCTCTGACATGTTTCAGCGTACGCAACCAACAAGACAGTATGAGCTGAAGAAAATCCGCTATTCGGCGAAGCGCGCGATTCAAGGGAACAGGCGGCGACTGATTAGATTATTTAGGAATGGAATGACTTTGCTCACCGGGAGACGGGCAATGGAATCGTGAATTGCCGCTCCGCCGCGCGCGGCGAGGGGCGCGCGTTTTCTTAACTCGTGTTAACTTGTCGTTTGGAGCTCGGACTTCATGTAGACCCCGTCATCATAGACATTCATGACTATTTCGTTCTGAATTGCCTGTTGTCGCCATACTACCTGGAACCATCGTCATTTGCGGGCGCGACGTCGCACGCGACGCTCACCAGCGCGGCGAATTACGATTCTCTTGTCACATACCCCTGCTCACCATCAGCTTTTCAGAGAATGTACAGTTTGGGGGTGATTCTTATCTTATCAAGTGTTGTCGATTTTCCCCGATGCGAGTTCTCCAAAACGATACTTGTACTCTTCTTTTGCGTATTCTTTTGAATCGCCAGTTTCCGAATTCTCCCATTTTCAGATTACATCGTTCGGTGGATTTTCCACCCTTTCCACATTCACAAAGTGTGAACGCAACCTAGTTGAATAGGAGTTGTTGGCGCTTTCTCTCACGATGAAATATACTGCGGGGTTTGATCAGAATTTGGCAGCTGATTGCTGCTTTTGAGGCTTACTGATAGAAGCTTCTTTTTCGAAATGAAATGTAGAAATGTGCTACTAGAATCGCATAATTCACTTCTATCAGGTAATCGAAGTCACAGTACTCTTTCTGCGTTCATACTTCGCGATCCCATCGCGAAGCATAAACGACATTTACTTGTTTCCTGATCGATCACATGAAAGAGTCTAAGCTGTCATATTGCCATATAAGTCGTCTAATGATCGTCTCTTGATGAGAAACGATGCACTTCTTTGTTTATTGCAATGCGACCTTTTCAGTGGTGAAGTCTACACTAATATATCCAGCTAACGATAAAGTAATAGCAAAATACCGCCAAGAAGAAAAATTTATCATTCACGAAACGCCTGAAGACTATGAAACGATCACCGTTGAGTATATCAAAAAGTATCAAATGGATCTCAAGGTGAGCTTTATTGAGAAGCTTTTATAATTTTTCAAGAGGTTACCCAAGAAATCAACCCTTCTGTCAAAGGCAGAGTTTTACTGTTATTTTGGAGCGTGATAAAAATAAAATCGATAAATCCACGTAACGAATGTAAGCCTATCTTCCAACTTCGGCCGCGTTCATACTCAAGTTCGCACAGTCTGCAGGTTCCGCGACATCTGAGGAAACGCAGACAGGGCGGGCTAAATAATCAATTGCTGTCAAGTCTTCCTTGGCGATCATGCTGTTTCTCCTGATTTAGCGCAATCTGCGGAAAATGCAGAGTCTGCA